TGACGATAGAAGTTGGCCAATACTGCGGCATCGACATTATCCGGTTGTCCAACGCCAGAATTCCTGAACCAACCTCCCAGGCATTCAGAAGCCTGCGAGGTGGAAGCGTGTTCCAGATAGAATTGAAGTAAGTCCTATCCCAGTCGATGATTCTATCAGAGCAATTTAAGTTTAAACGAAGCGTAACTTGAATACGTTTCCCACACCTCACCTCTTGACGTCGAAATTACCAAAGCAGCCCATGGACACAGGTTGTTCCACCCGCTAGCCATATCTCAAGCTTCTTTAAAAGATGAAGAAGGCTTAACGATATTGCCTATCACCTCAGGCAGAGTTCATCTTCTCTCTATCCTTCCTATTGAAACAGTTGTACATCCGAACTAGCATGCACAAAACGTACAAAGTGTACAAACCGTTCACAACCCTCTCATAATCTCTTATTCCATATTAGAATAGGTTTTTAAACAACTTACTTCTGATATATACAACATTTATATAAATTATTTTATGTATGTTTGAATTTTTTAAGATAAATCTTATTACACAAAATAAAATATATCAAACACACAAAGGCTTTATTAAGGCACCAGTCTCATTCATATTCTCCTCTATAAAGTATATCTTGAAATATCGTCATGGGGTTTTTCTCTTTTATCCTCAGTTGTAATACTCTTCTGCTATGTTAGACAGGTTACGTTATCTTGTTAGTTCTACAGGCTATCTGTGAGGTTGTGCTAGCTACCCTGCCTTGCTAGTTCTACAGGCTATCTGTGAGGTTGTGCTAGCTACCCTGCCTTGCTAGTTCTACAGGCTATCTGTGAGGTTGTGCTAGCTACCCTGCCTTGCTAGTTCTACAGGCTATCTGTGAGGTTGTGCTAGCTACCCTGCCTTGCTAGTTCTACAGGCTATCTGTGAGGTTGTGCTAGCTACCCTGCCTTGCTAGTTCTACAGGCTATCTGTGAGGTTGTGCTAGCTACCCTGCCTTGCTAGTTCTACAGGCTATCTGTGAGGTTGTGCTAGCTACCCTGTCTTGTTAGTTCTACAGGCTATCTGTGAGGTTGTGCTAGCTACTCTGTCTTGTTAGTTCTACAGGCTATCTGTGAGGTTGTGCTAGCTACCCTGTCTTGTTAGTTCTACAGGCTATCTGTGAGGTTGTGCTAGCTACTCTGTCTTGTTAGTTCTACAGGCTATCTGTGAGGTTGTGCTAGCTACCCTGTCTTGTTAGTTCTACAGGCTATCTGTGAGGTTGTGCTAGCTACCTTGTCTTGTTAGTTCTACAGGCTATCTGTGAGGTTGTGCTAGCTTCTCTGCCTTGCTAGTTCTACAGGCTATCTGTGAGGTTGTGCTAGCTACCCTGTCTTGTTAGTTCTACAGGCTATCTGTGAGGTTGTGCTAGCTACTCTGTCTTGTTAGTTCTACAGGCTATCTGTGAGGTTGTGCTAGCTACCCTGTCTTGTTAGTTCTACAGGCTATCTGTGAGGTTGTGCTAGCTACTCTGTCTTGTTAGTTCTACAGGCTATCTGTGAGGTTGTGCTAGCTACCCTGTCTTGTTAGTTCTACAGGCTATCTGTGAGGTTGTGCTAGCTACCTTGTCTTGTTAGTTCTACAGGCTATCTGTGAGGTTGTGCTAGCTACCCTGCCTTGTTAGTTCTACAGGCTATCTGTGAGGTTGTGCTAGCTACCCTGTCTTGTTAGTTCTACAGGCTATCTGTGAGGTTGTGCTAGCTACCCTGTCTTGTTAGTTCTACAGGCTATCTGTGAGGTTGTGCTAGCTACCCTGTCTTGTTAGTTCTACAGGCTATCTGTGAGGTTGTGTTAGCTACCGTGTCTAGCTCTGTCGACAGATTCGATGCCAGGTTGGCTGACAGCCGCACGTCAAGCTATCGGCAGGCCAGTTTGGACTCACTGACCTGGACACCGGCTGCGCTAATTGCATTTGACCTTGAACCCGATTAGCGCGTCAACAGCACTGCGTCAGACGTACAACGCCGTGCGCGCTTCGTTTGGAAAATGGTGCTATGCAAATTTGTCAATATTAATTTCCATACACAGCGATATACCACCATAATAATACAGTAGAGTCTCCATTAGAGAACACTCGTGCTAAGGACACCTCTCTACAATGTACATTTTTCATCTCCAATACAGTAGAACCTCAAAGAGAGGACACTCACGCTAGAGGACACCTCTCTACAAAGGACAGTTTTCATCTCCAATTCAGTAGAACCTCCATGAGATGACACTCGCGCTAGAGGACACCTCTCTACAAAGGACAGTTTTCATCTCAAATATAGTAGAACCTCCATGAGAGGACACTCACGCTAGAGGACACCTCTCTACAATGTACAGTTTTCATCTCCAATACAGTAGAACCTCCATGAGAGGACACTCGTGCTAGAGGACACCTCTCTACAAAGGACAGTTTTCATCTCCAATACAGTAGAACCTCCATGAGAGGACACTCACGCTAGAGGACACCTCTCTACAAAGGACAGTTTTCATCTCCAATACAGTAGAACCTCCATGAGAGGACACTCACGCTAGAGGACACCTCTCTACAAAGGACAGTTTTCATCTCAAATATAGTAGAACCTCCATGAGAGGACACTCACGCTAGAGGACACCTCTCTACAATGTACAGTTTTCATCTCCAATACAGTAGAACCTCCATGAGAGGACACTCGTGCTAGAGGACACCTCTCTACAATTGACAGTTTTCATCTACAATACAGTAGAATCTTCATGAGATGACATTCGCGCTAGAGGACACCTCTCCACAAAGGACAGTTTTCATTGTCAAAATTACAATCTTTTACTATTCAGTAGCTCTCGGGTAAGAGGATACCTATCTCTAAACGACACTATAGCTCTGCAATTAGGTGTCCTTTACAGGGAGGTAGTTCTACTCTATCAGTAAATTCGGAAGAAACAACTCAAGGCATCTATCTATGAAATATTCTCACAGTTTAACAAAGACATCGTTTTTATGTCAGAATTATTCATATTTAGAAAGCGATGATTTATCTGACCAAGTGTCTTACCGAAGAGACGCCAATAAATAAAAATGATTCGATTATTTGATAAAATTTGGAATAAAGGCTTTTCTTCTATCACCCTTATTATATACTATCCTGCGGAGAAACTGAACAAACTGCTCTTCACCTTATCCACGACTGTCCGAACTTTACAGAAGTGAGACATCGATTGCTTCCTGATATAAATGATCTAACTCTCTTATATCAGCCACTTTGTGTATATACATTTTATGAACTCTGTCGATTAATACATGTAAATTTGTTAATATTTAATTCTAAGTTCTAATTTGTTTGTTGTTTGTTTGTTTCCTCTGTAATAGGCGCAAATATTCAATAACACGCCTGGTTGATTAATAAATAAATAAAAAGATAGTATCCTTAGAAACCTTTTTACTAAACGTAACCAAACTGAAGAGAGCCACAACAAAAAGAAAATGCCTTATAAGGTGACAGAACAATAGGTATCAGAATAAAAAAACATACTCAAATTAAAAAGTTGGAGACCGAAGAATAAGTGATACACTCATGGACAAAACTTAAGGAAGTTGTACCTTTTAGCATGTATATCGGGATTTAGACAATAACTCTGAAAGATATTACAGTGACCCTTATTGAAGACACACGAGATAACCAAGTGTGTATACACTCATGGACAAAACTTAAGGAAGTTTTACCTTTTAGCATGTATATCGGAATTCAGACAATAACTCTGAAAGATATTACAGTGACCCTTATTGAAGACACACGAGATAACCAAGTGTGTATACACTCATGGACAAAACTTAAGAAAGTTGTACCTTTTAGCATGTATATCGGGATTCAGACAATAATTCTGAAAGATATTACAGTTACCTTTATTGAATACACACAAGATAACCAAGTATGTATACACTCATGGATAAAACTTAAGGAAGTTTTACCTTTTAGCATGTATATCGGAATTCAGACAATAACTCTGAAAGATACTATAGTGACCTTTATTGAAGACACACGAGATAACCAAGTGTGTATACACTCATGGACAAAACTTAAGGAAGTTGTACCTTTTATCATGTGTATATCGGGATTCAGACAATAACTCTGAAAGATTTTTAAAATAATCATACGCGTCTAATTTCGAATTTTCATATATGTATTTGTGTACAGTGGTAGGTGTCCAATTTATGAGCTCTCTCATTGGTTCTCTACTATCACATGACCTTTTCTGCTCTTGAAATAATGTTTATAGATGTTCTTTTTCACTGGAAACTTGGGAACCGGCATTTCTCTCGCTATGAATATACCGGTGTGTATATATACAGTATGTATTATCAAGATAATGGTCTATCCAAATATTATGGAATAAACCTAAAACAACGTTTAGTTGATTTCTAATCCACTTGATGGCGCTATGCAATCTATAATGATCAGCGGCGAAGTACGCAATCTACGTATTCTTCGTAGATCACGAAATACGTGGTGTCGCTGGAGACCCGCTGGTGATTCTCCACCAAACTCTATAGCGGTGATAGAGGCGTCATATTCATTGTACATAGTATCATGTATATATATTATTATCTTTTTTTAAAATAGCGCAGACTGTGTACTTCTGTATGTATTGACAATATGTCAATAAAATTATTTTAATTGTCAATTCTCTACAATGATCATATGAGTGGTCAGAATATGTCTTTTTAAAAATCTTTAATTTAATTTGCTTCTCTGTCTGTCCTTATATCTGGCCACAAATCTTGTAATCAAATTGACCTACAGAACACCTAGAAGTCTGAAATTTGGTATACTTGTTCGAACTTGATGACAATCCAAGTTGTCACAATTTAAGACCTCTGGGTGTTCAGGAATTTGGATAATTTAAAATTTCCCTTTTGAACATTGTGATCCATTTTTGAAATACTTGCAGGACACCTGAGAGCTAGCATAGTCATACCTATATCACCGCAGCACCTTGAAGCAATGCGGCGACACGTCTAGCCTATTTATATAAAAATAATGCCTAGTGGACATGGCATCAGCCCGGTATGCGGAACATTGTGGGTTCGATTCCCATCCCTGGACACTTTATTTTTCCGTTTATCATTACTCTTCACAATTCATCCTTTCATACTTCATCTATAAGCTTAGAAATAATCGTTATTTCTCCTTTAAATAAATTTAGATTCTTCGTTCAAAAGAAATACATGCGGGAAAATTTTCAAATGTCGTTCTACAAATATAGATTTTTGTTTCCCCAAAGATATAAAATTCCAAAAAGAATTTGACGCCATGTTGCAAAAAGAAGAAACTTCGACTCTAAAAGATATTTCCTGTTATTTGTTTACATTGGAAAAACCGGTTCTAAAAATTAAAGAACTACCTTGTAGAGAAAATCGTAAATTATTCGAAATTATTTTAATTTTCATGTTAAAGTTACAAATATGTTTCTTTGGTGAGTATCTGTTGGTTATCTATATATCGATGTGATGGAACTATTCCAGACGATTGCTTCAACACAGAGTGAAATAGGGATTCAGGTTGTCGTGGATTGAAGCATTAGCAATTTTCAAAGAGGATTTCTAAGAAATTCTTTTAAAAGTTTCTTATTCTTCTTTTAAATTTGAGATTCTACAATTTATACACTATGTATAAGGTTGTCCCAAAAGTTCGTAAAAATATTATAATTTATATTTTGCAAGTGTTTACGAAATTTTAGGAACAACCTTGGTAATATTGGTAACCTTAGTAAAATTATAACAGAATTCTTATAGAAGAATGATTTAATCTCTGATGTTCTATATCAAGGGTGGTCAATCAGCTGGTAGGCCAAGTTTCAGAATTACAAGGTTGTTTCAAAAGTTCGTAAACACTTGCAAAATATAAGTCATAATATGTTTACGAACTTTTGGGATAACCTGGGAAAATTTAGATAAAGGCAAACCTGTATACCATAGTTTTGGGCTATGGTCCTCATCGGTATAGAGACAGCTTCGGTTTCATGATATTCTAACAGAGGGGTTATGGAATCAGTCAAATTTACCAAACAGGTGTTTGAGCTGGTGAAGTGGCAAGGGCTGATTTTCAGGCAAAAATACAACATAAGGTTGTGAAAAGATGATATTCATCAAAGTTTCTTTACTCTGGTGATTACATAGTGCATCGTTCTAATGTATAATTGAAAGGAGAGATTGTCTCTCATGGTATATATATATGACATAATAAAAATATGATTTTTATTATTCATAATATAATTAAAATTCTATAACAAAATAATTACATAACCATAATATTTATTAAAATTGTTTTCCTAATATAACTGAAATGATAATTTAAATAATCAAATTAAAAATAAGAACTAAACACAGAGTTAATTTTTAAAATGTAAAGGAAAGCCAAACAAAAAGAATATAACCTAATTTGCTATTATTTAAAAAGATTGTTAGTTGTCTTTGTATAAAAAAAACTGTTTGTTTTGAGAAATAATGAAAATAAATATAATATTTAAGGGAAACATAAAAGGTTATTCTTCATTTTTTTATCCACGACTGCATGAAAGGTAACGTATCTAGAAAATACGTTTTTTTTATGACATATACATATAGGGGTGTAGTACAATAATGAATGTAGTACATATTTACATTTACCGTGGTTTTGACGGGAAATGTTCCACCTCCCAAAGCTGAATTGTATGAAAAAAAGTGAAAATTAGAGTGTAGAATCATTCAATGTGGTAATTCATTCTTTTCCTTTCAAATGGGTCATCTCATCTTTGACGAGTTTCGGTCATTTCTTACTGTGAGTTGAATAATGGGACTTTTATATCGGCAATCCAACTTGCTAAGTACATTTGCTGGATCATCAGCGAACACTGGTATTTCGAACACATCTTTTGTTCTGAGATATCTCGTGGTCAGGGCTGAGAACATCTGGATTCATCAAAGCAGCTTGGTATTCTAAGTTTTCACATTTCCATCCATCATCTGTGTTGAAAATCTTTTATCTTCTTTATTCTGAAAGTAAATACACTTGTAAAAATATAAAATATCACACTCAGAAGAAATTAAAGAAAAACATCGAATTTCTATTGATTAAACTTCTTTTGTCGTTAAAGTGGTAATAAAATATTGGATGCAAAACACCTAAAAAATGTTAAATTTAATTTATTTTTCCTTTTTAATCAATTTATCTATGTTTTAATAACGAATATTTGATTGATCTAAGATAAACGTTTCATGATTATTAATTTACTAATTTATATTTTTAATAATTATATTTGGACGTCATTTCTTTTGTAAAAAATCGAATTGATTTCGAGTTTTTTTTTATTCTCTGTGTGTTTGGTGTCTCTAAATTTCCACGTTTCTTGAAATTTTGCTAAAATTCACCTATGTGTCTTCTCATATTCAACTTCGGGAATCCAATCAATATCTTTTTACTATACAATATCTTAACACCTTTAGAGTCCTATATACTGATTCTCCCCTGTGAGATACAGAAAAGGAATGAAATAGGGAGAATTAATTTCTAATTTACAAGGTTCTATGGGATGTACGAGAGCTATAATTACACTCATGGGAAAAAATTAAGGAAGTTGGTTAAGTATCGCGGTTTATCTATTTTTTGGAGACAGGCAATTTTTTTCACCCTTGGTTATCTTGTGTGTCTTCAATAAAGGTTACTGTAATATCTTTCAGAGTTATTGTCTGAATCCCGATATACATACTAAAAGATACAACTTCCTTAAGTTTTGTCCATGAGTGTATGCACACTTGGTTATCTCGTGTGTCTCCAATAAAGGTCACTGTAATATATTTTAGAATTACTGTCTGAATATGCTAAAAGGTAAAGGTTTTCCTAACGAACATTTGTTAAAACGATTCTAGCAAACATCCAATCCCTACTGAATCTATACTTGTCAAGATAACTTTATGTTTGATACTCTGCTCCACCTAGTTTTCTGTGTTTGAACAAATAGGCAGTTTTGATACCTCAAACATAATTTATTAATGATCAAATGTATACAATACAACAAAATGTGAAAATTAACAATGATTTTATCCATACATATATGTTATTTGAATATAACATATGTACAAAACATAGATATACATAGTTGATGGTAGAATAAACATGCTTCTTCACTTGTGATATTAAACAATAGTGAGAATGAATTTCAATTGAACAATAATTTTGTAATTCTTAAATATCATCATGAAATGAATGATATTTGATGATTGATGGTGAACTTTAAATTAGTACTGCTAGAACTCTGATTTAAAAAAAAACCTTCCCGGGGATATACCTAATAATTTCCCAAATTTTCATGGCGATTGGATGTATGGCTTTTTAATCTATCGTGTACAAGCAGACATTCATTTTATATATAGATAGGGCGATTTTTTTCTCAATTTTAAACTACAAAACGCTTCCTACTGTCCTTACAGAGCAAATATTGTTAATAAGGTTAGTATAAGATAGTTTTAGTTCAGAAGTCTAGTTTACCTATTGCTTCTAGAGGTCTCGAGGACCACGCCATCACCATCTCCTCAGCGGCGAAACACGTGGTGTCGCTGGAGACTCACTGGCGATTCTCCACCAAACTCTGCAGCGCTGTCAGAGGCGCCATATTCATTGTACATAGTGTATATAATTTATATTATCTTTTTTAAAATAGTGTAGACTGTGCACTTTGCATGTATTGACAAGATGTCAATAAAATTATTTCAATTGTCAATTGTCTGAGGTCCAACGAGTTGTCGTGAAGAGGTGACGCCAACGAGGAAGCAGTGACAGCAGATTTAGTGGACTGATGATCCGGACTGACTCACTGCACTTCTAATTGCCGCGCAAATTGTTCGTTCCATGGCCGAGCCGGGGTACATCTCAGCTTGTTTAGCTGTATACACTCATGGACAACACTTAGATGAACTTCTACCTTGTATATCGGGATTATATATACAATAACTCTGAAGATATTACAGTGATCTTTATTGAAGACACACGAGATAACCAAGAATTAACAAATTTTCAAACTATTTTATAAACTTACAATAAAAAAATGAATTATCATTAATTTTTACTATAGCGTTAAAAATTCCGCACACACCGATATTTCTTTTATAAATATCCACATTTTCTCCCGTCATATTTATTATAAGACAGCATAAGAGAAAATTCACTCGAAATTTTGCTTATTAGCTTAAATAGAAAAGGAAACTAAAATTGTTAATTGTTTATTGTAAGTATATAAAATGTCCTTTTTATATACCAAGATTGATTGTGAAATATCTAAAAAAAGTATATGCAAATTTTATCTGATAGGATATATGCAAATATATCTTTTTTTAATTGTATAATATCTGGTTCGCGTTAACCCAGTTTTACTATCAAGTGTATGACGCCCCGAAAGCCGAATTATAAACTTGATTCCGTTTTAAATCTTGCTGTCAAACATTTTAAATTATATTTTGGCATGAAATTGGGGGAATATGATAGTCATGAACAAAAAGAGGCACCTTTCCCTTTAAATATGTATCAAAACGATGGCACTGTACATCACGCTAGTAATAAACTTTACTACTGATGATAAAGAACAAGTAAAAACACCCGTTTTGGTAAATTCATACAAAAATCTAACATCTATATATATTTTATCTTTTATAATATTGTTTATATTATCTTTTTTATTTGTCATTAATGTTAATTATGCAAATTTTATTTTATATATGTAATGCAATCGTTGCATATAGCAGTTTCCAAGCATTCGTCCTTCATTGATTTCTAATCAATGCGCATAAATTATTCAACTAACGCAATGTATCGACTGAACGTAGTTGTATGGTAAAACTGTGAAGTTATGTAGATGATGTTGATATGAAGGGAAATAGTATCTTTGGGACCAACGGCTGGTGTGATCACGGCCAAGTTAGCTGGAGCCAAGCGGTCTATCTACCGCAAACAAGTCGGATCACACGGCGGCCTCCCGGCATTCCTTTCCGAGAGCAAGGTCGCAGCTTGACCCCTGCATGGCCTCAAAACTTTTTTTTTCTCTCTCTCTCTTCATTCTGCCACCGCCCGCTCAGC